GGTGGGAAGAGATCCGTTTATTACAGATATGAAAGCCTAAGGAAATTTCTTTTTGCAAAAGAAGTATTAAATGATTTAATAGTCTCGTGTGTTAAATGTATTTGTGTCATAATGTGTAACACCATTGTATAACAAAAATGCCTACAATAAATCTTTTAGTATTTATAATGGTTTTTCTGAGTTGGAAGTATTATACCAAGGCTGTTTCTTGGGGTAGGTCAGAAAGCACTGAAATGAGGAGAGGTATAGCCTTTTATTTGTGTATTTAAAATGAATTCCTCTACTTCTTTCCAAGAAGAATTTGCAACCATGCAAGATAAAGGATTACACTTACATAATAGTCTTAAAAAAAAATTGGAAGGTACATGTTTGACCATGGACATAATTGTTTCTGATGGCTCAGAGGAAGAGGACTGTATGGGTGAGCTCCAGAGTTTCCTGAAAGCCCAAGTTGAGAGGCAGGCAGCTCCYGTTGTCCAGCACAGGAACATACCAGTTTATCTGGCAAAGTAAAATTGGTATGTGCTGGGGTCTACTCCTTTTTTACTCCTTTTGCAGCCCTACCGTCTGCTATCATGAGCTAAAACAGAAATGCTAGAGCTAAAAAACTGAGAGCTTAGGTCTCTGAAGGTGGTAATTTCTGCAGGAGACATTGTGACACAGTGCAGAGAGGTCACTTGCTGGTGGTGGACTTTGTGTAGGGTCAAAGTCAAGAAAGTTGACTAGGCCRTACATGGTGGCTCACGCCTAATCCCAATAGCTTGGGAGGCTGAGGCAGGAGGATCAAGAATTCAAAGCCAGCCTCAGCAATGGCGAAGCAACTCAGTGAGACGCTGTCTCTAAATAAAATACAAAATATGGCTGGGGATGTGATTCAGTGGTAGAATGCCCCTGAGTTCAATTCCCAGAACCMAAAAAAAAAAAGTTGAGTAGACTGGTGGAGTAAGGATGGGGCACGCTCAGGCCCAAATGTTAATTGTCTCAGGGTTTGGGACGGGAGCTGCAGAGCACAGATCCATGTCATAGGCAGTGCTTAACTGGGGACTCCCTGCTACTGACTGAAGGAACCCACTGTGAGTGAGGCCAACAGTCAGCTTTAGGGGAAGTTCCTCCATTTGCCTGATTGCTTTTATTTTGTTTGTTTTGGTACTAGGAATTGAACCCAGGGCCTCACACATAGTAGGCAAGTACTCTACCACTGAGCTACAACCCCAGCTCATCTGCCTGGGGTGGGTTGCAGGGCATCCCCTGGTAGGGTCTAGCATTTCTCAAAAGCAGTGTTAGGGTTTCACCGAAGGTCCTGGAGTTCTGTTCCCTGAAGTACAGAGAGGTGGGGCACTGATCTCACARTTTCAAGACTCCTGGACATGTGGAAGGACCTTGTAGTGCACTCTATAGCTGAYGGAGGCTCCTCCCACAGTGGTCTCTTGGTAATGGAATAATTAATGCTGAACACTCTTTGAGTTGCTAAAATTAGCTGAACAGACTGAATTGCATTTATTTTTAAAAACTTTCTGTACAGAATACAAAAATGGTTAATTATATTTTAGCAAGTATAATAAAGTGTAAAATGTTCCCCATGACTCCCCTCTTAGAGATGATAACCTGTTACTAGTATAATGCATTCTCCCTGTCCCCGGGCACTGTCCGTGTGCGTAGATAGATACGGGTTGGAAGCACAGAGCTGAGACTTGTCTCAGCCAATTCTTGGGTCATGCACTTGGTATGTGAGGATTTACTCAGACCTAGAGTGAGTGGGAGGGACTTCCTTCAGGCACCTGGGAAGTCTCCTGGGGAAGGCTGTGAAGATGAGATGTGTGTGGCATTGCGTGGGGTAGTGYATCGCAGGAAGGTTCTTGGCATGCAGTTGGCCTGGCAGAGTTCAAGCTCCTCTGGTGCTGGAAGGCCTGCTTTTTCCCAGCCAAGGTGCAACAGAGCTGATGTGTCCCTTATGGTCAAAGAATCTTGGACCTCCCAGGCTGGCTCTGGGATGGAATGAGCACTGCCAGGTGCACAGTGTGACCTCAGGCAGGGTGCAGCATGGGGCACAGGGTGTTAATGGCTACAGGCAGGAATAGAGGTTCCCAGGGAAGGGGGGCTTAGGTTGGAAAGAATTATTCCAGCAGCTGTGCTTGGTGTTACCATATGGAGCTCACCCCACCCCCCACCCCCTGTGCACAAACATGAGGGCTCTTGGCCAGCCAGCGCAGGGGAAGTGGTGGCAGCTAACTGTCCACATGAAGAAATGGAAGCACCCTCCAGTCCCAGCTGGTCATGAAGAAACAGGGTTTGAGCCTGAGACTAGCATCATGGGTCCATGTCCCTGGATTCCAGAATGGCAATGGGAAGGACTGAAGTATAGCAGGGAGGCTAGTGGGTTCTGTGTGCCACCAACACCAGTGTCACTTGAAGAGCTCAGCATTTATAAGCCTCCAAGGGACACTAGAAGGAGCCACATTAAAGTCATTACTTAGAGATGGGACAATATATGTGAAGAGAGATTCATGTTTATAATTTTAAAAAATAAGAAATTGAAAGCGTGCATTTTTGCATTTTAGTAAAGTCAGATTGTACAGTTAAGCTGCTCGGCCCCCACAGAATGCCCAGCAGGCAGTCTCCTCTGCCCAGAAACATCGAACATGCAAACCAGTGAAGTCTAAAGCAGTAGAACCCTTTGTGTAAGCATATGGTTTGTTCTCCCTTTAAAATGACTGTCATCAGAGCATTGCCTTAGCTGGAGTGAGGGAGGTCTCTGCCTGCCAGAGCTAGCACCTCTGAGGGGACACTGGCAGGCAGCCTGAGCTGGAAATGGCCCCTCTGAGCCTGCTGTGATCTGAAACCAGTGCCACCGCCTGGGGCCTTAACATTCAGCAGACCAGAGCCACTGCTGAAGAGGAAGAAGAGCCACAGGAAATGCTCAAATTTCCTTACCAAAACTGTCCCAAGCTTGTGCCTCTATTTTTCAAGAAGGGATACAAGACCCCTTCAAGTGTTTGAAAGGCTGCTGTGCAAAGAAGAGACCCTGCTTGTTCCACGCAGCCACACTGGCTAGAATTTCTGGAGACAGGAGAGCCTTTCAAAGATGGGAGCAGCTTTCCCTGCAACAGTGATGAGCCTCCTGTCACTAAGTGTGCAGAGTAGGCCTGAGGGCAGGGGCCCCTGTAGAGATGATGTTCTAAGGTTCTTAATGATGTGAGGCAAATGCCACCAATTCCTGCTCAGTGTGTGCAGCTGTTCGGTTTAGTCATCCCTGTGTTAGGGGAAATTGAAACACAATAGGGGGCTATGCCTGTAGAAAACTACCGCATGGTCATTGTTAGTCTTTAAATATTTCACTCACCCCAAGATGTTTTGTTGAAGCATGAAGGCCACCTTGGCTATAAAGAAATTATGTTTTTGACATCAAAACCCTGTGATTGGTACTATTTTCTTTTGGAAATCTCTTTTAGCTATTCAGCATCTCGTGAATCACATGCAGGTGGGAACCTGAGTTCTGAAACATGGGCCATCACAGAAAGACCCAAGGATATCACCTGGGATTACTATAGGTTATAAAATTAATAAAATTCTCATGCATCCTGGGAAAACCACCCAAAGTGGACATCACCGGCTCTGCCAAGGAGCTGCTGCGTCCATATTCCTCAGCCCCATGGACAGCTGGGTTCACAACTGAATTGGTTCTCAGGTTCCTCAAATTTAAAAACTGAAGAGTGGCCAAATGGCAATTAAAAACAGATGTGAAGCCTCCCACACACTTTGTGGGAGGAYGAGAAGTTGGTGATGCTGCGTCCATCTGCACCTGTGCTCCACACCAGGCCCGCATCCTGGGCAGTCACACTCCTCTTGAAAGCAGAGGACAGAGCCAGGCTCCTTTCTCAGCAATATTCCAGCAGCCATCGTTCCATGCTGACGCAGTCACACGTTGAGAATTCGGGGAGCTGACGCCTGAAAAATAGCTGAGGGGTTAGGAGTGAACTTCTTCCTCACTTCAGGGACCTGAAAAATGAAATGTGGCCACATCAGTGGGCGTTTTTCTCAACTCCCTCCCACCCCTGGCTCCAGGAAAAGAATTCCTTGCATTGTCCAGAAGTTGGAACTACTACCTGAAGGTCAGAAGGGGACTGCTGCCAACTGTGAGCAGTGTCACTGCAGTAGCAGGTTAGACACAGCCTGTGAACCTTCCTTTCTGCTCCCTGAAGCCTCTTTTGGGTGGGATCAGGAAACAATCCTCGCGTCCCTTCCATTTTCTCTTGCATTTTATATGGAGGCCCACATATTGGGTTGCTGGAGATGGAACCCAACACTTTACTCAGGCTAGGCAGGTGCTCCACACTGAGCAGTCCCCCAGGCCAATGCCACATATTTGGAAGGAATGTCACTGGTACTTAGTAGTTGAGGTTAAGGTTGGGATTTAGGAGGCAGAGAGACCCCAGCTCACCAGAGAAGCCAGCACTGGAGGGGTACCTATCTGGCTAACGACAGTTACCTTAGTTTTCTATTAGGAACAATTTCCTGGGCACTGCTCTCCCTGATCATAACATTCAAATCCACTAAAATCTCTTCTAATCCCCACACAGGAAGGAAGGCTTCTGTGGCCAGGGCCCCCGTAGCACCTGACCTGGAAGCTGGCCCCAGTGCCGCCGTCCCATCCGGAGGTGTGGGTTGTGATAACTCTGGCTGGTTTTGCTTTTGGGGGTCTTGAGGGTTTCACTCCAGTCCAAGCCTGAAATTCCTGTCTGGAACAGAGCATAGAATCAGCCTTACACAGGCTCTGCCACTGGGCCACTCCCCTGTGCTGCTTGGAATGTCAGGGCCTGTCCACTGTTGGGATCCTGCTTTAGCCCCAGGTGGTCCTTTATCCCCCTTAGGCGGGCAGAACTAGCAGAGAAGGTAGGTACCCAAGACAGGCACCCACTCTGCCCTTCACCTCTGGGTGCTCCACTGGGAAACCTGGGCTCACCCTGTTCCCTAAAAGTAGCAGCAGAAACTTATGCAGGTGAGCGACAGGCTCAGGGTAGAGCTCCTTCAGCAGCTGGTGTGCACTGGGCCTTCAGCACTCTCTGTGTTTAGCCTCCAAGGCCCCTGAAATCCTCCTGCGGCTGCCCCTCCAACAGGCAGGCTTCTTAGAGGGGTCTCACAGGCTGAGAGCCAGTGAAGGCCAGTCACCTCCTGCTCAGGTCAGTGGTGGCCTCTTATGTCCACAGGAAGTACCAGCCTGGACAATGCTCAACACAATGAAGGTCCTCCATATCTGGTTATGATTGAGAAAGAAAAGTAACACTCAGTATCCTGTGTACATAAGCTGTCTTTTCAGCTTATGCAAAGAATGATTCTGAATGACCACCTTAAACTAGATGGTCTGGCATTTGCACGGCTCTGAGCATTGAGGAGCCAATCCATGAGCCAGTGTGAGGCTGCAGGGAGGGCAGGGGTGGTCTCTGTGGACAAAACCAGCTCCTTGGAGGGAAATGACAGTGCTGGCACAGCCCAGCTTCGTGTCCTGGGAGTGGGACTTCATCCTATCCCTCTGAGCAAAGGAGACCTTTTAATTGTGTCCATGTCCCTGCTAGATGGTGAGCTCAGGAAGGCCGAGGTCCCTTGTGTCTGTTGGGAGCACCTGGTCCAAGGACGTTCTGTAAGAAGAGTCCAGCTGGCCAGCACCAACCCCCTCGTGTGCCTGGGGCCGCTCTTGCTCCACCCGTAGTCCTGGCTGGGCTTCAGGCCCTGAGTCAACAAAGGCGCCTTTTCTCCTGGGCAGTGGCACAGCTGGGRCTCCCAGGGCAGGCAGGCTGGGCAGGGAGAGCAGTGTCTGTCGGTGGTCTGCACTCAGGGAGCCTTGGTGTGTCAGGAGGTAAGCTGAGCCAGGGCCTGTCAGTAATCTTTGCTTCTGAAGCTGCCAGGTTCTAAAGCCCAGCTGTCCAAACCATCTGCTGCCCTGTTTCTCCTAGGGAAGCAGGTCCTCCCCTGGGCGTGTCCTTCTGTTCCCAACTGCCTCTTATGCTGAGCCTTGGGTCTGGCAAACTGAGTCCATTGCCCTGGGATGGCTATAGGGGTCTCAGAGAAGGAAGGGCTCAGAGGAGGAGCCCAGGCAGAGAGGGTGACAGAGAGGATAGAGAAACATTAGAGGGAATTAGGGGGACTGCCCAAGAGAAGAGGAAGACAAATGGATGGCTCTGACCAAGAAGATTAGTGAAAACTATGAGCCTGGCTGTGCCTACTATGTACCAGGCCTGACAGTGTTTCTGGCGTGTTCCTGCATCAGCTACCTCTTGCAGGTCTCAGCTAGACCCTGGATCAAAGGCACTGAACAACCCAGAGAATTTTGAGGAAGAGGCTCTGAAAGGAGCTGGTTGGGTAAAGAGTCCCAGAATGGCTGGGGATCAGACCTCCTTGTTTGCCCACGTGACCAGGCAAACAAAGCAGGTCAGTCCTCACATGGAAATCAGCAGCCAGGCAAGTCAAGAGGTGGATACCAGCTCAACACTTCTGGGTTAGGAGTGACCACACATCTGCTGTGATACCTGTGGAATCACTGGATTTGTTCATTTTCTTTGTTTTCTAAATTTCTTTAGCAGTTTGCTTTTAGATGAGGTGCATCTTGCAAGATGGAAGGCAGGATGCAGTTGCTGGAGCCAGGTTCTAGAGCTGGAAGGTGGAACATTTCAGAGACCAGCTGGTGTGGTGCTGGGGGAGCCAAATTCAGTGGGGAGCAGGGGTGTGGGTCTGCTCTCACTGTTCCCACTTTCCATATGAGGGTCCAAGAGGCCTAGTTTATACAGCAGAAAATGGGAGTGCCACTGAGTCCCTGATCCCATTGTCAGTTCTTTTCACTGCTGGCTTTGGGACACTGATTCAGAGGCGGTGGCCTAGACAAGTAATAATAACCTCTGGGGGGTCACAAATTTGGTCTGAGGCAAGATAGACTGGTGTATTCTCTTTTCTGCCCTTCAGAGCTGTGTGACTATGCACCAGTCCTTCATCTGTGGAATGGGGACAGTGATAACTAAGGGCTTGGGGAGCTAATCCACAGAGAGTACAGAACTGTGGATTAGGGGGAGGAACTGCTTCAAACAGACTTTGCTTGAACATCTCCAGTAAGGAACAGCTTACTGTAAGACAGTTCTGCTTATTGGAAAGGAACTCCTCCCCTGCGCTGGAACCCTCTCCCTGGCAGGCCCCACTCCTTGTTCTTGTTTCTAGAGCCTCAACCACTCCAAGGTGCTGCACCCTAGGGCCTCTCACCATTCTGGCCCTGCCAGCTAGCTCACCTCCCCATTGGCCAGTAGTCAGACCTGTGCAAGACCCAGCTATGGTCATGGTGTCTGACTTGCCATCAGCAGGGGTACCTGAGTTTCAACAGTTCAGCTTGAGCATGTGTCAGTGAGCACAAAACCCACCCTGCAACCACAGCCCCCATCAGATCCCTTGAACAGTGCACACCTATGAAGGAACCTGTTCTTAGACACGTTTAAGGTCTTGGGTTATCATTGCACGCAGGCTTCTGGGTATCCTGTCCCATGGCAATGCCATAATTAGCCAATCCCCCATATTAGGACTAAGGGGGCTGTTACTACTGGCAAAACGTTTCCATGTATTTTATACTCCCACCTCATCATCAGGAAACCTGAAGAGAAAATTCCTAAAGTATTGAAATAGCTGCACCATCAGAATAGTAGTGTTTCCAGTAACCTCATAACCAGAGATACCCTAAATATTTAATAAGGGAGTAGGCAGATAATATTGGGATATATAGATGTAGAACCCATAGGATAATGCACTGCACATTTATTAAAATTCCTGTTGTAGAAGAACATCTAGTAACATGAGCAGACTTACAAAGTAGGTGGGAAAATGTGTACAGTACAAATGGAACCATGAAGGAATGTGTCAGCTTCTATGCACTGAAATGCACATTAAGAATTAGAACCTCGGTTTGGGAAGGGGCTAATGGATTTTTTTTCCCCTTTAGTAATTTCTGTCATTTCCAATTTTTCTTCTGTGAGCGAGTGTGAATTATTTTTGTAGTAAGAATGAAGTCCTAAGTTGTCCAGGGCAGGGAGACAGTAAGGACCTGTAGACTTGACCTCAGCGAAAGGGCAGTTTGGATGTTAAGGGACTCTGACCGCCCAATGCTCCCACAGAGGGCCCAGAGCAGAGGGAGCCAGACCAGTTGGCCTGTGCACACCCCCCGCTGTGGCGAGGCCCACCCGGTTGAAGTTAAAGGAAGCAGATTTCAACTCGGTGGAAGGCTGGCCTTTCTGACCTGGCTGCTGGGGGCAGGGAGCCGGCTGTAAGGGGGTGAGATTCTGGTCYATGGAAGTGATCATTCATTTTGGGTCTGGGCAGGGAAGGGAGCAGCAARGGTGGCATCTGCAGTGCCAGGGAACCAAGACGGTGACCTCTAGCCACCAGCTGCTGTCGAGGTCTTGTGGAATCCAGGAGCCTCCTCTCATCCCACCCACCCCCATCCTCCTGGCTCCGGGTGTTTCCTTCCACCACGGGGTGTGAATTTGGAGGTGTCCCTACCCCAGCCCAATACCTGTACGACGTGGTCGCTGCTGCACCCGTGTCCGGATCGCCAATGGGCAGCACGTAGACCCCCCTGGCGCCAGGCGCCGAGGACTTGCTCCTGCGGCCGCCCGCCCCCGGACCGCGTCCCTGCGCCGCATCTCTGGTTCCCGCAGGCGCGGTCCACACACCGAAGTCGCGCTGGTACTGAGTGAGTGGCACGTCCCGGCCAGAATCCCGGCCGCCGGCGGGGGTTGGGATCCTCCGCGAGGCTGTGCCTGCCAGGCCCGGGTCCTCGCTCTCGAGGTCCGAGTAGCCGTGCAGGGTCAGCGGCACCGCCACGTCGGAGCGGTCCAGCTGGTTCCAACGCCGCGCCAAGCAGCACAGGCGGCTGATGCAGGGCCACGCCATGCCCGCCCAACCCCAACCCCAACCCCAACCCCAACCCCGGACCCGGACCCGGTCCCGGTCCAGGCGCTCCGCTCCTGGAGCTCCCAGCCGCGCCGCCCCCTCCCGGCGTCCCCGCCCCCGCAGCCCTCCCCAAGCTACCGCAGCGCCGCCCCCCGGCCTGGGGGTGGGTGTCCGGGGAGTGAGAGGGCTCCGCGACAGCCCGGCGTGGCCTCCACCAGAGTGCGCTGGGTTGGATTGGGGCGCCGGCTAGGAGAGAGCGGTGACCAGAGAAAGACTGTACAGTCGCCAGGGGGCACCTGAAACCGCTTGCGGTCATTTACTTGTGTCCAACTTAATATCTCAAAATTGAATCCCAAGTTCCCCAAATATTTTATAAATCCGATGAGCCGAGGTCGAGGGCCGGGATGGCTACCTCGCAGGTCAGCTGGGCAGTTAAATTGGCCAGGAGGGTCTCTACTCGGTCTTGTGGACCCGGGTAGCTAGCTAAGGCACTCCCAGTACTTGTACAAGGCTGCACCACAGGGTCTAAATGGGCAGCGGAAGGGGCAGCAGTGAGGTCATGGTGAGGAACACTTGGGGGCGTGCTTCCCAGAAAGCACGTGTTCGAATTAGGCAGAGTCCCCAGCTTCTTTGCTTTTACTATGCTCATTCGCGACAGGGATACAAAACTTTGGCCAGTTATGCTATATAGTTCCTTTCCCTACTGTGCATGCAAATTGTTTGAACATATAGCTAAATTGGGATAATTCTGCAGGGTAAAGGTCAATTTAAGGTAGGACAGTGTATCAGAACAACTCCTTGGACACATTCAAAGGCTGAGTATTTGATACATGCCTTCAGTATTCATTGCAGACCAAACACTGTCAAAACAGCATTGATTAGCTGGAGCTCCTTCTCCAGACTGTACTCGGAAGGTGTCCAGTCTGCACCTCCGAGATGACTGCAGTGCTGCATTGGCCAGAGTCTCATTGCCTCAAACACTGCCTTAGTTGGAAGTCACAGCACCATGACATTACATTGGCCAACTGAGCAGGCCAGGCTGTGGCCCAGTAGACAACAGGAGCAGAGCCGTGGGTACTGAGTTTACATTCACTACATCAGARTTATCTAGAGGGCCAGGAGCTCAGCAGACCTGACACAAACAACTGAAGCCGCAGAAGCTCCCATAGCAGTGTGAGCAGAGAGGGGCAGGATGGCCAGGGTGCATTTGGAGGAACCCCACACTTTAGAGGCAGGCCCATGGCCCAGGCACAGGGAGAGTATGGCCAAGGAGGTGTGGTCAAGGGTCAGCAAAGCCTTGATGAGGGGAAGCTAAATCCCTTAGTGGCCAGGAGGAGAGCTTGTGCAGGCTTCWGGGGGCTGGGCCTCCCATGGCCACTCATTCACAGGGAACAAGGTCCTCCATTGTTCAAAGGCTCCTCAGCTGAAGGACTTTATAAGACAGGTAAGTGCTCCAGAGACTTCTCAACACTACTTCTCTGACACAGCARGGACAGGAGAGAGGTCTTCACTGCCTCTTTTCCTGATCTGCCTTCAAATAGACGATGAAAATTTTGTGTGAGCTCAGCCTCTCATCCCAACTACAGAAAATATCTTGTCTCATTTGTCATAGGGTTATTAGCAGATTCAGAAATGGCAGAGCAGTGCAGTCACCCTACCCTCCACCAGTCATTTCCTTACTGGCAAAATGAGGGCTGGGTTAAGACAATTCTAGAAGGGATGCTAGTTTACAATCCTCTGCCTACTGAAAATAACTGGGTACTTCACAGTGGAGCCAACCACGCTGGTGGAAGAGTTAAGAATTACCAAGTACTGGACAGTATTTATTGCCAGGCATGTGCTGTCATGCAGTTCTCAGCCACCTGGTGAGGTGGGTGGGACCCCCACTGCTCTCAGAGCTCACTGCTTAGAAAGCCCAGCGGTGCACAAACTGGAGCAAATTAGCCAGGCAAGGCTAACATCAGGGCTTCTACTCCTCCCCAGCTAAAGCAAGATTTGGTATAACATTTTAAGGCTACCAAAAAACTAAAACCTCTCCTGTAAATGCTTTCAAGAAAAATCCTCAAATTGCATTTCCTCGATGTGATTCTCCACCATGAGGCAATGTGAACCCCACTGCAGTGAGGCCAAAATGACGACAGCAACTATTTCAGGAAGACGCTTCCATTAGAATGTACCTTTTCAAACATAAGATGCAGTTGGGCACAGATTCAAGTCTGAATTTATCCAAGTCACTTCCTTTTACTCTTAATTTAGCTACAATTTTAACCTAGAAAGCAAAACCTAAAAATAGCTTTATGTATGTGCCTCTCACTGCCAGGAAACTCCACCTTTCTTGGGAACATTTAGAAAGTATCTGCAGCTGTTATTTCAGACTGTGGCACAGAGAAGATGCTCTTAACTTCTGTCAACCAAGGAAAGGGATGGGTCAGTCTGTGCTAAGCAGAGATGCCAGAAGGTCAAGGCCAAAACCAAGGCCATCAAGTTTCTATCATCCCTTTCAAGGGGCCCCCTGACCAGGTTCACTGGCCAAACAATGTCAAAACAAAGATGCCAGAGCAGCACTGATGCTCTCAAAGAGACCACACCCCCTGTTTACAAACTAGAGATATAAATCTTTATTTCACAACTTTGTCATAATTCACTTTCTAAGGAGACAAGTACTGGGGGACAGAGTTTAAAATGCTGGGGAGGCTAGCTGCTGGGTGTCTTCCAGGCAGGAGCACAGCTGTGGTCCCTCCAGGGCCAATGCACTCTTGGAGCTTCCAGGCAGCACAGATCAGATGCACCAGTAATGTCCAACCCCAGTTTTATTTAGAGCCACCTCCTTTTTTGGGACCATCAGTCCTCATTTCATGCCACATTTTCACTAGAGGCTCCCTGTTCTTCCAAATGAGTTCATGACCATAAGTAATATACCATCTGGAAAAGAGAAAAACCAGGTTTGACATTCCAATAATATGACACACAMATTTAATCAAGCCAGCATTTTTAAAAATCAAATGCTACTGTGCTTCACTGTGTAGCTTATGAAAATGGCTAGATTTATTTGCTGTAGATAAATGGTTTAGCTTTAATATACAGAACATAAAAAAGGTCATAGTAGTGTGGGGTGAATGCTCTGGAATGTGTCGAGTACTTCACACCCACTTTTTTTTAAGAGAAAGAATTTTAATATTTATCTTTTAGTTTTTTTCTCGGACACAACATCTTTGTATGTGGTGCTGAGGATCGAACCTGGGCCGCACACATGCCAGGCGAGCGCACTACCACTTGAGCCCCAGCCCCACACCTACTACTTCTGATTCACCTTTGCCCTGCAAGTTAAACACCATTTCTCATTATGGACTCAAACCAAGTCCAAGAAGAAAATAATTTGTCCAAAGTGCCAATAGCTTCTACACAGTCAACTGAGGTCTGACCCCAGGTCAGACTGACTCTAAGTCCAGGCTCCTATTAAGAAATGGTGGAATTGCCTCATGATGGCACCTGTCACCCTTGGGAGTAGAGGGAGACTTCCTGGAGCACACGGGGCTGGGAATTAAGGAAAGCTTTCATCTTGAACTCCTTTTGCTCCCCAGAGCAAAGTTCCCTGAGGCAGAGATCAGGTTTTGTTGAGCTTCACATCTCCCAGATACTGTTTAGCTTATCAGAACAGCAATTTAATGTTTTTAACATTTTTTAAATGCCCTGAACTTTGTTTTTCAGTGGGGACTGAACCCAGGGGCACTCTACCATTGAGCTAATCCCCAGCCCTATTATCTGTGGGAGACCAACCTTGCAGGTGACCGAGTCAGACTCCCCAGCTGGGTGCTGAGGCGCTCAGAAACAGAAATGTGGCAGGGCTTTCCCCACCATTCTTGGGTTCAAGGGATGGTGTCTCATGCATGGGCGTTGCTTCCTACAGCCCCATGGGTGGAGCTACACTCACCTGTTCCTTTGTAATATAACCCCTTGCCCTGTTTAGGATAGAATCTTCCATGGAAGTGTCTTGTGTGTGTCCCCTTCTCTTACTGTGCCCTTGGATGTGGCCTACCCAGATATCAGTCAACCTGCTGACAATGGACATCATGAAGATAGACTCAGCCTCCTGAAACCTGACCCCTTGCCTCATTTGAATAGCTTCTTCTCAATAAAAGGGGTCAGCACATTCTCTCGCTCTCTCTCTTCCTGCAGACCCTTAAAGTCAGAGGAGCCATCACAGCGACCCCAAAGAAAAAGGTATTTGTATCTCTTGTGTGGTTATTTTGTGCAGCCCAGTTAGCCCAGTTTTCCAGGAGTGACCCCTGAGCCTTTTAGTCGTGAGAACAGAAACCTGGCAATTATTATTTTTTGGAGTACCAGGAATTGAACTCGGGAGCACTCAACCACTGAGTCACATCCCCAGCCCTATTTTTTACTTTATTTAGAAACAGGGTCTCACTCAGTTGCTTGGCACCTCACTGTTGCTGAGGCTGGCTTTGAACTCACAATTCTCCTGTCTCAGTCTCCCTAGCTACTGAGATAACAGGCATGCATCAGTGTGCCCAGCATTTTTTTTTTTTTTTTTTTGAGATAGGGTCTGTTTGCTGGCCTCAAACTTGGAAGGCTCCTGCTTACCCTACCAAGTAGCCCACAACCAGCTCTGAACATTTTCTTCTTATAAAAGGCTTGATTTGTACCCGAATCTTAAAATATTCGCTAAATGTAGTTAAAACCTGATTTTATAGAATTACATTATTTTGTTAACATTAATTTTTTTTTAGTTGTAGATGGACACAACATCCCTACTTTGTTTATTCATTTTTATGTGGTACTGAGGATCGAACCCAAGCGCCTCCATGTACAAGGCAAGTGCTCTGCCACTGAGCCACAACCTCAGTCCCCAACATTAAATTTTTGAAAAATAATCTGTATATTTAAGAATGAAAAAAGCATTTAAAAGGGTATGCATATTAATAGGTATGTAACAAAATTCTCTTGTAATATAAAAATTTCTGGTGAATTCAGAACAAGAAAAAATGGACCACCCTAAAATGCAATTTTGAAGATTCTTGCAAGAAACAAAAACCTTTTAGGGATTCTCCATTAAATCTTTTTGAGCCTGCTTATTTCAAGCAGAGTCAAATACTTTAATCTTACAGGTACACTGTTCTGATTATACTCATAAAAACCAAATGTAACTAACTAGTCATTTGGATAAACTCAAATTAGAAAAATATTTAACTATTTTCTTTTTTGTGTTGGGGATTAAACCYAGGGCCTTGCACATTCTAAACATGTGCTCTACCACTGAGCTACACCCCCAGACCCCAGATCACTAAACCTTTCTTGCTGCAGCTGCATAACAGTCTAGTAGTCTGAAACTCCATCTCTGCAATTATGAGCCAAGAATCTTTGGTCAAGTTACTTCCTCTATGTAAAGTGGAATAGCTCCCAGCACTTTGAGTCTTAAATTAGCCCTTAGCTCATAGAATTCTACATGATTTAAAGTCACAGCTTATGCACACAACAACTATTCAATAAATTATTAGCTATTATTACAATAGTACAATGTAAAGACTGAGAGCTGGTCAGGGACACAAAACCAAGGAAATGTGCAAGTGAATAGCAAAAAATTAGGGCAATTTAACAAAAAAAAAAAAAAAAAAGATTTTCACATTTCTAAATCTATTTTAAAGATGTTATGACTGAGATCTAGTAAGTGAAAATAAGCTGAAAGGATTATAAGAGAAAGGATTCCTCTGCCTTCCAGATCCTAGGATTTAAAATGCCTTTAATCCAATTATTTTCAGAATGGAAAAAGGCCATCTAATTATATTTTGGAAGAATAAAAACCTGCTGGAAAGACGACCCTTTACAGACATGTAAAAAGCACCAGGTAAATTTAGAGTTCATAAAACAGAATCCCTTTTCATGTTTTTGTTTCTCATACTGTAATAGCAGGTCAGCTTCTACTATTTATATTTGTGCTGCTGTTAAAGCTAGAACTCACATATGCTATTCTTTAATCATCACTGAAAATTACAAATGGCATAATGGCATTTAGTTCCACCACCTACTTGGCAAAACTGCGTCACTTAGATTTTTCTAAAAAAATTTTTAAGAAGTTTCCATTGTCATGAAACAAAGCAAAAATGAAATAAGGGCAAAAGACAACTGACTTGCAAGAAAAGACAGGCCATTCAGGGATGGCACCATCAGACAACTGTGCTGAAGGGACTCCCGAAGTCAGATGGGCTCCAGGAGTCCAAAGGAAGTTTATAGTTGCTACCAAACTATTACATTTTAGGCAAAAAAGAAAAGCAAATAAACAAAAAATGCTAAAATACCATTGTTGAAACACAAATGGAAACACTTTCTGACCATATGCCAGGCGTACTAGATGTGGTGTGATGTGGCTGGAAAGCAAAGGAGATCTGGGTTTAAATTCTGCTCTGCTACTTCAGAGCTCTCTGTCCTAAGGAAGACCACTTCTGTACTTCAGTTTCCCATTAGTAAAATGGGAATAATAGATGCCCTCTTCCTCGTCCATCGCTGCCGCCTCCTTCTTCTGCTGCTCTTGGAGCTGCTTGTGTGCTCATGAGGACCTGGTACCTCTTTTGTGAAGCACCAGCTGAGGAGACTCTGGTGCTCGACATGGCCGACGAAAAGCTCAAGGAAGGAGTAAAGACTGAGAACAACGATCATATTAACTTGAAGGTGGCAGGGCAGGATGATTCTGCGGTGCAGTTTAAGATTAAGACACCACTTAGTAAACTAATGAAAGCATACTGTGAACGACAGGGTTTGTCAATGAAGCAGATCAGATTCCGATTTGAAGGGCAGTCAATTAATGAAACAGACACACCTGCACAGTTGGAAATGGAGAATGAAGATATAATTGATGCGTTCCAGCAGCAGACAGGAGGTGTCTACTAAAAAGGGAACCTGCTACTTTACTCCAGAACTCTGTTCTTACAGACCAAGAATACATTCTCAATTAGAAAACTGTAATTTGGTTCCACCACCTTCTGACCACTATAGTTTTCTTTATTCTTTCATTCTCCCCTTCCCCATTCCTTTATTGTACATAAAGTAACTGGAGTATGTGCACAAGCATACTGCATTTTTTTTTAAACTAAATGGCCAATGATATGTTTTGATTGTCAACAAATGGAGATGGGATGGGGAAAAATACTGGTTCTGTGAAAATATCCCCTTTCTCCATTAGTGGCATGCTCATTCAGCCCTTATCTTTATATTCCAGTAAGTTATTTTTCTCTCACTGTTTTAACAACAACAAAAATAAACCTGAACATAAAAATCCTTGCATACCTTGTTCAATTGGAGAATTTTAATGTTTAGTTTTCCCTTCAAGTCAAGCGTCTTGTTGTTTAAATAAACTTCTTGTTTATTATTCCTGTTTTATTTATTTATTTATAAAGTACAATGTAAGGTGACTAGCTCAGTGCCTACATATGATGCCCAGTAAGTGTCCATGCTGGCTTGCTTCCTTTATGCAGACACACAACACTCCCCCTCACAATCACTACAGGGGAAAAAAAAAAAGCTCTTCCAGCCCAGTGTCTGTGCAGCACTGGTGAGATGGCGCCCACAGAAGAGGGAGGAGGGCAAGAAAGCCCAAGAGTGGGAAATAGAAACATCAAAGACTTGGGGGCTGGGAGCACTATGAGAGGGGCTGGGAATGACGACAGGTTAGGAAATGGAGTTGAGTTTAAGGGACYAATAAAAGCACACAGTCACTCTACAATGATCAAGGCAGGGGCAGGGCTGACATTCTCAAATCCCATCTCTCTTGGTGAAACTGGTTTAGACCAAAGCAAACCATGCTGAGGATCTCTCCCCTCCCAACAGTATCCTCCTGCCTGTATCACATAGCTCAGTTGCCTCACTCTGTCTTCCTCAGGGAGGACAGGGAAGCAACTGAGGAAGCAGTTTAGCATCAGCTACACTCAACTTACATGCCAAAGAGAGCTCCCCCAAGATGTGCTGCATGATCAAAAAATTTCCATCCCAGGATCATTCCAGCTGTATCCATGGCAATAATGGCTTTTAGGGCCTAAAAGATGGCAAGAGAGAACAGAAGTGATACACTTTGATTCCTCCAGCACTGACATTCCTAATTTAAGAGCAAGACTTCAGTCATTGTAAAAACACCACTAACGTCCTCAGAACTTCATCCAGGTACTTACATTCCCTGCTGTGAATGTGAACATTGGGAGGAAGATGATGGCGAGCCTCCCCTCTGGGATCTTAGTGCAAACAGCTGCCAACACACTCATGATCGCACCTGACTGCAAAAGAATGGAAAATGCTGGTTAGGAACAGCATACAACCTCTTGAACACAGTGTCTACATGTCTGAAGTAGCAAAACTTTTTTCCAAAAGGCTTATATGCTTAGCTGTAGGTGAGCACAGAGCTTAAAAGCTTTCAGTTGCTAATGTGCACTATACCAAGCAGAGAGGCTTCAGGTTTGTCACATACATAGTAATCACTGGGTAAAGCCTGTACTTTCATTACAGGTTACTAAGATGTATAAAAACCATTGTGTTAGCACTTAATGAACAGTGTTAAACATGCCATAAGCATCATTTCATTAATGCCTTTTTTAGAACTTCTCAAACCTCTCTAAAAAGCTCGCCAAACCAGAGAAAATGATCATAACTCTGTCCAAAGAAACTCATATGTGGCTCACTCGGCTCGGCGCAAAGGGAAGGCGGCGCAGAACAGAGGCTTTGCTTGCAGGTCACCAGACCAAGCTCTGGACACAGCACAAGGTTACCCCAGCACCCCCCACCTCACCAAACACCCTATGTGGGTAATAGACAGAATCCATCTTGGAAAACCTTCCTCGAAATCTATCGGTGGGCGTGGCTACCAGCACAATTCTGTGGCTGATCAGGTACCCAGTTCCAACTCCCCCACCCCCAGCGGTGATAACTCAAAATTTTTCTCACAAACTTTTGCAGGGCGTAGCTATCAACGCAGAATAGCAACTGTACAGGCACCTGATTTCCAACTCAGAGACTCAGAGTAGGGAGGCTCCAGGTAGAAACTCAAGCCCTCTCACACTAGCTACCTCCACCACCCTGAACGCAGAGACTCAAGCTAGGAATAGACAACTCCATCTACTGGAAGAAAAGAAAACAGAGTCCTGAGACTTTTTTTTTCTTTCTTTCTTTTCTTTTCTAGCTCTTCTCATCCAATCTCCTCTTCCCTTCCCCCTCTGGTCCTCACAACCTCAACTATGTGAATCCAAGAACTTTGCATGAAATTAGACTTTAAGAACTGAATCACCAGAATAATATAATACAGAGGAATTGCATAGGCCCCACCTCACCCCACCCCTTTATTTTTTTCTTATTTTCTTTCTCCCTCTCTTTCCTTTTTTCCCCCTCTTTTCTTTTTTTTTTCTTCCTCCCTCTATCCCACTTTCAACCTCCTATCTTTTACTATTTATACATAGGGTAATTTTCTTTAATACAGATAAGGAGTTTGAAGTTATACATTCTTCCGTAAACTATCCCTGTCTATTCATTAGAGTTCTCCTCTAAAGTTGCTAAGTTAGAGTAATCCCCTACCCTCACTCCTTTCCCCCTTATAATGATGTCCTATGCCTGACCTTCAGGTTCTCTATATGCCACCAGAAATGGTATGCCTTTTATGAAACGAATGACTATATTCTAAATAATTGAAGGGGCTGGGGATGTGGCTCAAGTGGTGGCGCACTAGCCTGGCATGCGTGCGGCCTGGGTTCGATCCCCCGCACCACATACAAAGATGTTGTGTCTGCTGAAAACTAAAAAATAAATATTAAAAAAAAATTCTCTTTAAAATAAATAAATAAATAAATAAATAATTGAAGCCARCATCTGTAGACACAGAGTCTAACTATAAATGTAATAATAATGAAAACTTGCTCATAGATGATGTATTATTGATATTGGGAACTGTTAACATTGGTTTTCTCCACAAAAGAGAGATTTTGGGAACTATATAAGTGCAATATAAATATATAGGGGGAAAATATTAACAAAACAGTCACAAAGAGCTGGAAAGAAACGTGAGTAATATGAAAAGACAAGGAAAGAAAGAACCACAAACAATCCAGGACAAGTCAACATTAGAAGAGGTAACATCTGCAGCAGAAGGAATGTCAGATAAAGATTTCAGGATATACATGGTTCAGATGATCTAGAATCTTAAGGAAGACATTATACAGCAAATGCAGACAATGAAAGTTCACTTTGACAATGAATTACATAAACAAATCCAAGAAGCAAAAGATTAACTCTACAGGAAGATAGAGGTTATACAAAAAAACCAAACAGAAATCCTGGAAATGAAGAAAATTATAAACCAAATAAAAATTCAAATGAGAGTATCATCAGTAGAGTAGACCAATTAGAAGTCAGAACATCAGACAACAAAGACAAAATATATCATCTTGAAAAGGGCCTAAACAACTCAGAAAAGCTGATAAGAAACCATGAGCAGGGCTGGGGATGTGGCTCAAGCGGTAGCGTGCTCGCCTGGCATGCGTGCGTCCCGGGTTCGATCCTCAACACCACATACCAACAAAGATATTGTGTCCGCCGAGAACTAAAAAATAAATATTAAAAATTCTCTCTCTCTCCTCTCTCACTCTTTAAAAAAAAAAAGAAAAGAAAAAGAAACCATGAGCAGAACACCCAAGAAATCTGGGATACCATAAAAAGACCAAATTTAAGAGTTATTGGAATA